AGATTACAGGAAAACACACATATTTGAAGGCATCTGAGAATTGGTGCCCACTGAGGAGAAAAATCAATGGCATGTGAAAGGCTGAGGAAGTACAGAGGGGAAGCCAAGGTTCCTGCAGGGCAGGTAAGACAAAAGTGTGCCCCTGTGAATGAGCTTTTCTTCTGAAGTTGCTTCTAATTTGAAAATTCTGACTATATTAGAAAAGGATAGATGCTGGAGCAGTGATATGCTTAAGGGAAGAGAAAGGAGCACAGGGAGGAAGATTTTTATAAGGTTCAGCAACATTTATTCAACAGATAAATAATGGTTTATTGAGCAACATAAATAACTGTTTATTGGCACCTACTGGCTGCGACAAGGCTGAGATTCTGTGCTCAACAAAGGTAAGCAATAACACACAGACATCTCAAGAAGGTTACAGTGAGGCTACCTGTGTTAGCACAGAGCCAAAAAGGATAAAACTCTGGGTAGTGGAGGAGGAGTAGGTGGATGCAAAAGGGACGGGGTATCACCCAACTGGAACCACGCTGAAGATGAGGGTTCTGATGCAAAAGGTTAAAAGACTAGGAAAGTAGCCATCAAGTCCACAACTTAGGAGTAGTTTAACCGTGGTGTCCTTTCCACCCCACACTAACCACATCTGGATTAAAATCATCTGCTTCTTCACAAAGCTGTGAATCATGCCTCCTTTAATCTCTATATTCCCAGTAACTTGCAAATAATGGAGGCTCAACAAATGCTTGGCTAAAGCCAAGTTATAATGACATGAGTAAAATAGGAGAGACTAGGCTGGGCGTGGCAGCTCATGCCTATAATTCCAGCACTTTGGAAGGCTGAGATGGGCAGATCACCTTAGGTCAGGAGTTCAAGACCACCCTGACCAACATGGAAAAACCCCATCTCTACTAAAAAATACAGAATTAGCCAGGCATGGTGGCACATGCCTGTAATCCCAGCCACTCAGGAGGCTGAGGCAGGAGAATCGCCTGAACCTGGGAGGCGGACGTTGCAGTGAGTTGAGATCGTGCCACTGTACTCTAGGCTGGGCAACAAGAGCGAGACTCCATCTCAAAAAAAGAAAAAATAGGAGTGACTAAATAAATTAAGGTTTGATGGGTATGAGAAGCAAGACAGAAGATTCCTGCTAGGTGTCCAAAGAACATCTGGATGAACAGGACCCACCAACAACTGCATCTAACTTGCTGGATAACCCTGAGAAAGTCACCTCAATTCTGAATCTCAATTTGTGAAATGAGGATATTGGCTCAAACCAGAGGTTGCAGGCCTTTCAGTGGAAAGAAGGTGGCTGTTAATTACATGAAAGCCTGGAGAGAGTGCGTATCTTTGCTGTCTGGGTAATGGGTACGAGCTTCCCCTTTAAGCTGCGCTTCCAAACAAATTATAGAGAGAACATACAGCTGGTATGGCCACCAAAATAAGGACCTTTGAGGCTTATCAACAAAAGAGACCTGCTTTGATGTGGCACATAAGGAGACAGGGGTTTGGGGCAGGAGAAGCAGAGAGCAGTGGTAATAAGTTATACAGATCTGAGAGGTGAGACAACAGATAGCCCAAGGAAAGACTGGATGGAACAGATACATTTGTTTTCAAGGTGGTTCTCATGTGTGTCATGTACACACCCAGGCACCAAGACACACAATAAGTCAGGGAGAAATAGATTTTACACAACCTAAAAACTTTAATACTAATTTAAGAGCTGTTAGGGCAATAATAATCCATTAGCAAGATCACTTGTAACCTTTGGAAAGCTTGTTTATTTACCATATTTACAGAGTGCCACAGACTATATTTTGAGCTTCTGACAAGTTTCCATTTAGGATCACAGAAATACCTGACATTTTGGCTTGGCATGGGAAATTATGTAATTTCCCATGCCAAACTGAATTCTCCAACATTACAGGAAAACCCAGAAACCCTGCAGAAGGGAGTGAAAAGCCAATCCAGTCAAAGGAAATCTTCCAGTTCTACAAAAGAAAACAAACAAACAAACAAATACCACAAAGAGCAATGAATCATTTCTACTGAATAACTTTTCACTCAATCTTTAATAACGTCATTCTGAAGCCCTGAAAATTAAATTACATATTCTATATTTCTGGTGATATCACTGCCTAAAATTATACAACTTAAAGCAGTGAATGAGCTGATGACTGTTAAGTGAAATCTTTAAGGACATGAAAGGCCAGAAAAAAAGCATGTGCTTGAAAATGCCTTCAAAATAATAAAAGCCTGAGGGAACTGGATAGCTTTGCTGCTTCTAAGCTAAATAAAGCTTGGGGGGCTTTACAAAGGTTCCAGTGAGGATAATCTCTATGATTACACAGAGCAAACATCCAATCAATTCCACATGAACCAAGGAAGTTAATCCAAGAAGAACACCACTTAAAATATTGAGGAAAAACACACAGTACTGATTGTTTAAACGCTCCATCAGCGTTGGAGAACGTATCAGGTCATTCTGACAAGCCAGAACACTTGACTAGTGTTTCTGTGACAATGGTTTGGCTTGTGTTAACTAAAGGACAAGCAAGATATTTGAGTCCAACGCTCAGGCCTTAAACAGGTCTGATCCCGGACTCCCCAGCAGTCTCCCTACTTCCTGCACACCTTTGGATTATTACACACTTACTTCCTGTACACACCTGGGTTTGGGATACCTTTTCCCTGAAAAATTACTCCAGCTAAGTTCCCAAGGCAAGCTCAAAGGACTCTCCCTACTCTCGGCGGCAGTGTAGTGGTTACTTTAGGTAAAAGACTCTGAAAAGATAACGCATCACTACAAGGACAGAAGTAAGCAGGGCGACTGTGGCCGCTCCGGGAAAGGCGGCTGCAAGGCTGGCCCGCGGGCAGAGCCTCTGCTGACGTTCACCGCGGCTCCCACCACGCAACAGGTCCACGCAGGCAGGGCCCGGGCGGCTGGCGTCTGGGCACCTGCCCCCAGCGCTCCAGGCCCAGCTCTCCCCTGCCCCCATCCCGCGGCCACCCCGTAGCCACGGCAGGCCGGCCGGCCAAGCCCACCCGCGATAAAGCCTGGAGCACATTCCTCCCAAGATGCCGAGATAGTGCGGCCCGCTTGCGCGCTGCCCAGGTCACAAGGTCCTCCTCGACAAGCCTCGGTCAAAGGAGAGACGCGCCCGGCTCTTGGTAGGGCCCTAGGGAGTGGAGTGGGGTGGAATGCGGTGCTTTGTAGCCTCCAACAGAAAACAGCCCGTGTCGCCTGACTTCTCACCTGCCCGGGCACAAGTGGCAGGTGTCAGTACCTAGACATGGATCTAAGTTACTTAACAGTCCAGAACGTTTCTCCAACAGCACGAGCTCTAGTGACTACGGGAAAAATATCCGGTCACTTTGAATAAAATGAAAAATAACTTTACTGGGGAAGGATGCAGGTAAAGAGACACTAGGGGAGGCCAGGCACGGTGGCTCACGCCTATAATCCCAACACTTTGGGAGGCCGCGGCGGGCGGATCACGAGGTCAGGAGTTCGAGACCAGCCTGACCAATATGGTGAAACTCCGTCTCTACTAAAAATACAAAAATTAGCTGGGCATGGTGGCGCGCGCTTGTAATCCCAGCTACTCAGGAGGCCGAGGCAGGAGAATCGCTTGAACTCGAGTTGCGGAGACTGCAGTGAGCCGAGATCGCGCCGCTACACTCCAGCCTGCGCGACAGAGCGAGACTCCGTCTCAAAAAAAAAGGAGACACCGGGAGAAAGAAGCAGGTGAATGCGTAAAACAAGTAAGGTTCCCTCCCGCCAGACCCGGAGGTGGAAGAGGCAACGAGAGGCGGGGAGCGGAAGGGACAGCAGAGGAGCCGGCAGAGCGCGCAGGTGAGGCCGGACCCTCACTCACCTCGGGCAGCTCGCGGAGCTGGTTGGCGTCCAGCAGCAGCTCCTCCAGGCTCCGGGCATAGCGGTAGATCTCCTCGGGGACGTAGACCAGCGAGCAGTGGCGCTTGTCGATGGTCTCCACATGACGGTTGCACCGCCACAGGGGGATGCAGTGGAACATCGCCGCCCCCGCCGCCGCCGAGCCGGGTCCCGAGCGGCGGCAACCCGGGCTCTAAGCCCGCTCTGCCCGGCGGCTCCGCTCAGCCCGCTGTCCTCTCCGCGCTCGTTGTTGGTTCCCTGGCTCGCTCTCACCTCGCGCAGAGCTTCGCGGTCGAAAGCGCTCCAAGGAACCTCGGGCGGGAGCCCCTACCCCGTCCCAGCACTCCCGCCCGCCAGCCAGTGCGTCCCCTCCCACCCTCCAGTCTCCGCCACCGCCACCGCCGGCGCCGCCGCGGGGAGCTTCCTACTCCTAGCCGCCGCGCAAACTGAGCATGCGCGCCAGTGGTGCGCGCCGAGGGTGTTTCCCGGCCCGAGGGATGCTCCTCTCCGGGTTTTCCCGGCGACCTCGATCCGGAGAGGGTCGAGGGACCTGCGGGCCGGCTGCCCGGGGTCCGCTTACTCCTGTGGGGACGGGGGCTCTTCGGGCCCTTTGAGGAAGGCAGGCTGTGAAAGGGCTTGGGGCAAGGACGAGGCGGAGTAGAGGCGGCCTGAGCAGAGCAGAACAACTTTTGATTTTTAGTTTTATTTAACTCGCACTCCCCTCCTTGCTCCCCTTCCCCAAAACAACTTTCTCTTCCGGGGTCAGGCAGGACCGCCCCGAAGCGTACCTTGCGCGCCGTGGGCGCCAGGCGCTACGGGATTCCGTGTAGTTTTGAGGTGTTTGCGCCGCCCTCGCTGCTGCTTTCGTGGCTGCCCCTGTGCCCGCTGCTCACGGCTGCCCCAGAAGTGTGAGCGGGCCGCGCCCGGCCCCTGCGGCGCCCTCTGGTCCTTGGGCACCGCCTGCAGGCTTTGTAACCTGGGAGCACACCTTCGGTCGTCACGGTTTATGCAGTGAGAGACAGTAAATCCTCCCCGTAACACCAAAGGCATAGGAGTCTCAGAGTCTGCGAGATTCTCACAGATGTGGATGCACCCCGCCAGCAGCCCAGCTGCAGAAATAAGCCGGCAGATGCGAGCTTCTGAGCCGGATGCAGCTCTTCCCAGACGTCGGCCCCTGACAACTACCCGGGGGTGCGGAGGGAGGAGCGAGGAAAGAGGGGCAGATCGAGGCTGTCAGGTGAGCATCCTCCATACAACTCCTGCTTTTCTGCTGCAACCCCTGTCCCGTCCAGCCCGGATGACCCAAGAGGCTCGCTATTGGGTTATCACGACCATTGCCTCGCGCCGATTCGTTTCCCGCGGACCACTTCGCCTGTAACTGTTTACAACACAACCCTCATCACCCAATAACCAAATTTTCTCCTTTCACGAAGGGTTGCTCAGGTCAAGGTCAATCACAATGATGAATTATTTCCTCGGGGCCTCCTCTGACTCCCCACTTGGCCGCCCCTTCGTCCCACACTTTCCGTTTCAAGCGTACTCAAACTTCAGGTTCCACCTGTGGCCTCTGCCACGCTGCCACGCTGCCACGCTGGCTCCCCCACCCTCACTCCCGCCTTCCAGCTGCAACAGCTAAAATCTGGAGCCACGGAGTTCACTTTTCTATAGAAGACAAAGCTGAGCATGCTCAGTAGTCAAGGCAAAGTTTGGTCCAAAACTAGTTTTTGCATTAGACTCTCTATTAGCTCCAGACTCTCCTGTCCCATTGTAACTGAGCACAGGAGGGTTTCCCCGGTGAAATGGAGAAGAGGACACTTGGTCTTTTCAATTCTACTAGGAGGGCTCCTTTCTTCCCAGTCAGTAAGGAAGGGTCTGACTTTTCATTTCTACCCCAGCGTTATCACCTTAACTCTCATTCCTGTCAATCCCTAAACTCCTGTTGCCCTATCCACTTCACCCTCTGTTTTATTTGTCCTGATTTGATTCCTGCATTCTCACAGAGGGCTACCTGGACTTTGAACCTCCACCCGCCTTTTTACATTTCAGAAACATGATGCTCATTTCTGCCACCCTTCCTAGAAAACTATGGTTCCTGACAGAGACGTGTGGAAAGGTAAGCAAGTTCCTGTCTTCAAGTTTCCCAACTGCTTTAAAAAAAAAAAATTTCTTTTTTAACGCTGGCTCCCTTCATTTAATCTAATGTAGATTTCCAGAGATTATCACACTAGATTATTTTAACGAACACCAAATATATTTTAAAGATGTGTCCAGTCTTTAAAAAATTCAAACCTCCGCCGGGTGTAGTGGCTCAGGCATGCAATCCCAGCCAGCACTTTGGGAGGCTGAGGCCAGTGGCTCACCTGAGGTCAGGAGTTTGAGACCAGCCTGGCCAACATGGTGAAACCCTGTCTCTACCAAAAATATGTAAATTAGCTGGGCGTGGTGGCAGGTGCCTGTAATCCCAGCTACTGGGAAAGCTGAGGCATGAAAATTGCTTGAACCCAGGAGGCAGATGTTGCAGCGAGCCAAGATCCCACCAATGCACTCCATCCTGTGCGACAAGAGCGAAACTTTGTCAAAAAAAATACAAACCTCAATAAGCATTTTTTGTGTGCCTCTCCACGGTGCTTCAGCTTCTCTGTGTTATTATTTTTGTATCACCTTAATCCAAAAGAGATTGTGACTTCTTAAGCAATAGGTACTGTCTCACTTGCTTTGTAGGTCTGGGAAACTGCCACAATGCCATATGCACAGTCAATGACCAGCAGTTTTTGTTGAATTAATTCTATGGGTAGTCAGTGGGAGAATTCTTGACATCCCTTGTTTCCAAGGATTTGCTAAGAATTTGAAACAGTGTAGTAAGAGAGAAAAAATGGAACAACTTGTCAACTACAGAATAGGGAAGCAATTAACTTGTTATTCACCTGAAGAATTTTAGGGTTTCCTGCCTGATATAATATCTAGTTTCCTCCACCACATACAAATGAGTTTGACTCAATTTAAACAAAGTTTATAAAGACCACCTAAATCAATTTATTCTAAGAATAATGTAATTATTTTATTCATTTATACTTTGAGCCGTGTTTTCACAGCCTTTGGTGTAAAGAGATTTGTGTTTGAACTCTTGTTATGCCACTAGCTTTGTAGAAATTGACAGTTTACTTAACTTTTATAAACCTCAGTTTTATCATCTCTCAAATGAGGATAATGGCTTGTGGGATTGTTGTCTGGATTAAATGAAATAATATATGTTAAGTTCTTAGTAGAGTATCAGACACACATTATTTTAATCAATAAATATTCATTATGCACTTTATTAGCTAGCCTCCAGGAAGTTGGGGGCAACATCCACCATCTCCTGGTTGATCTGTGTAACCAACTTTCTCTCTCTCGGATCACTCACTTTGGGAAAGCCAGCTGCCATGTTGAGCAAATCTAGAGAGCCACATGGCAAAGAATTGCAGACTGCTGACAACAACTAGCAAGAGACTGACAATTCTTGCCAGTAGTCATGTGAGTGAGCCATCTTAAAAGCCAATTATCCAGTCCTTGTCAAGCCTTCAAGTGACTGCAGCACCAGCTGATAGCTTGACTAAAACCTCATGCTAGCCTCTGACCCAGGACCACTCAGCTAAGCTGCTCCCCACTCTTGACCCTTAGAAACTCTGTGAGACAGTAAATGTTTGTTGCTTTAAGCTGCTAAGATTTGAAGTAATTTATTATACTGCAACAGATAACTAATAAATGTACATACCTTGCACCAGACATTGTGCTAGATGCTAGAAATGTGTAAGAAAAAACAAGATAGGTCTTAGCCTCATGAAGCTTACTCTCTAAAGTTAGGAGAATGATAAATACTTAGTGGTTTGTTGTTGTTTTATCATTATTTTTTGAGCATGATATTATTAATTTTCTTTAAGTAAAAGTCCAAAGTGGTAGCTCATAAGATAGGGTGAAAATGGGAATTCAGAGGTTTGGGCATGTGAATTTTAATGTAAGATACCACCACCTAACCACTAGAATGACTTAAAATTTCTTTTAAAAAGGCAATCCCAAATGTCACTGAAGATATAAAGCAACTCAGCCTGGCAGAGTGACTCACACCTATGATTCCAGCACTTTGGGAGGCTGAGGCAGAATGGGGTGGGGAGATCACTTGAGGCCAGGAGTTCAAGACCAGCTTGGGCAACATAGGGAGACCCCCATCTCTACAAAAAAAACAAAAAATTAGCCTGGTGAAGTGGCCTGTGTCTGTAGTCCAGCTACTCAGAAGGCTGAGGGCGAAGGATCACTTGAGTCTCATAGTTAGTTTGAGGCTGCAGTAAGCTGTGATCATGTTGTTTTGGTTACTACAGCTTTGTAAGATATTTTAAAGGTCAGTAGTGTGATTCCTCTAGCTTGGCTTGCTTGCTTGTTTGTTTGTTTCTTTTGCTCAGTATTGGTTTGGCTAGTTGGAGTCTTTTGCGGTTCCATACAAATTTTAGGATTTCTTTTTGTACTTCTTGAAGAATATCATGGGCATTTTGGAAGTGGTAGCATTAAATCTGTAGTTTGCTTTGGGTAGTATTGTCATTGTAACAGTATTAATTCTTGTAATCCATGAGCTTGAGATGTCTTTCTATTTGTTTGTATCTTCATTAATTTCATTCTTCACTGTTTTGTAGTTTTCTTTCAAAAGTCTCCTTGATTATATTTATTCCTAGGTATTTCATTTTTTGTAGCTACTACAAATGGGATTGCCTTCTTGATTTTATTTTCGGTAGTTCATTGTTCAGATATGGAAATGCTGCTGTTTTTTAATATTGATTTCATATCCTGCAACTTTACTGAATTTGTTTTATTCTGTTTTTTGATAGAGTCTACATGTTTTTCTATACATAAGATCATAGAATTTGCATATGAGGACAAATTGATTTCCTGCTTTCCAATTTATATGCCTTTTATTTCTTTCTCTTGACCAATTGTTCTAAGACTTCTAGAGGTATGTTGAATAAGAGTGGCGAAAGTGGACATACTTGTCTTCTTCCAGTTCTAAGAAGAAAATCTTTTAGCCTTTCCCCATTCATTATGATGTTAGCTGTGATTTTGTCATATGTGGCCTTTATTAGTTTGAGATATGTTCTTTCTTTACCTAGTTGATTGAAAATTTTTATTGTAAACAGATGTAAAATTTTTATCAAGTGCTTTTTCGGCATCTATTGAGATGATCATGTGGTTTTTAGTAGTCCTTCATTCTATTGATGTTATGTATGACATTTAATGATTTCCATATATTAAACCATCCTTGTATTCCTGAGATAAATCACACTTGATCATGGTGTATTATCTTTTTGATGTGTTCTTAGATTGGATTTGCTAGTATTTTGTTGAGGATTTTTGTGTCTATGTTTATTAGAAATATTGACCTATAGTGTCCTTTTTTTGTTGTGTCCTTGTCTGTTTTTGGCAGCAGGGTTATGCTGGCATCATACGATGAGTTAGGAAAAATTTTCTCTGTTTCATTTTGTGAAATAGTTTGACAAGAATTGATACTAATTCTTCTTTAAAGATTCAGTAGAAGTCAGCAATGAGGCCATTCAGTCCTTGACCTTTCTTTTTTGGGAGATTTTCCATTACTTACTAAATCTTGTTACTTGTTGCTGGCCTGTTTGAGTTTTCTATTTTTTCTTGCCAGAATTTTGGTAGATTGTTTATGTCCAGAAAATTTTCTATTTCTTTGGGTTTTTAAAATTTATTGTCATGTATTTGTTCATAGTAGTCTCTAATAACCCTTTGTATTTCTGTGGTATCCATTGTGACATCTCCTTTTTCATTTCTGATTTTATTTATTTGGATCATCTCTCTTTTTCATTAATTTAGCTAATAGTTGGTTGATTTTGTTTATCTGCTCCAAAAAAAACCCAACTTTTTGTTTCATTGGTTTTTGTACTTCTTTTTGTCTCAATTTTATTAATTTCTGCTCTGATCTTTATTATTTCTTTCCTTCTAATAATTTAGCGTTTGGTTTCTTCTCTCTTTTCTAGGTCCTTGAGAGGTAACTTTAGGTTGTTTATTTGAAATCTTTGTAGTTTTTTATGTAGGCATTTATTGCTATAAACTTGCCCCTAATACTGCTTTTGCTATGTCCGCTAGATTTGATATATTGTGTTTTAATTTTTATTTATTTCAAGGAATGTTTCAATTTCATCTTTTATTTTTGTTCTCCATCCATTGGTCACTCAGAAGCCTATTATTTAATTTCCATGTATTTGTATAGTTTCGAATGTTCATCTTGTTATTGATTTCTGGTTTTATTCTATTGTGGTCTGAGAAAATAGTAGGTATGATTTCAGCTTTTAAAAATTTGTTGAGATTTCTTTTGTGTTCTAATATATAGTCAGTCCTAAAGAGTGTTCCATGTGCTGATGAAAAAGATATGTATTTACCAGCTGTTGAGTAAAATGTTCTGTAAATGTCTATTAGGTCCATTTGGTCTACGGTGCAGTTTATGTCTAATATTTCTTTCTTTATTTTCTGTCTAGACAAGCTATCCAATGCTGAGAGTGGGGTGTTGAAGTTCTTAACTGTTATTGGAGTCTCTCTCTCCCTTTAGATCTGATAATATTTGCTTTATATATCTGAGTACTCCAGTTTGGAGCACATATACATTTACAATTATTATATTCTCTTGCCAAATCAATCCCTTTATTATTATGTAATGTCCTTCTTTGTCGCTTTGTACAGCTTTTGACTTGAAGTCTGTTTTGTCTAAATATAGCTACTCCTGCTTGCCTTTAGTTTCTGCTTTTATGGAATACATTTTATTTAAGCCCCTCACTTTCAATGTGTTTGTCCTTAAAGATTAGGTGAGTTTCTTTTAGGCAGCATATAGTTGATTCTTATTTTGTTATTATTATTCAGCCAGTCCATATCTTTTAAATGAGGAATTTAATCCATTTATATTTAAGGTTGTTATTGATAGGTGAGGACTTACTGTTGTCATTTTACTGATTGTTTTTTAGTTTTTTTGTATATTTTTTGTTCCTTACTTCTTCTCTTATTGTTTATTTTTACTGTTGGGTAGTTTTCTGTACTGACAAGTTTTGATTTCTTCCCTTTCTCCTTTGCGTATCTGCTCTGTCAGTGTGTTTTATAGTTTCTCATGTTTTCATGGTGGTGGTTATTGTTCTTTTCATTTCCAGATGTAAGACTCCGTTGGGTATTTATTACAAAATTGGTCTAATGGTGGCGATTTCCCTTCGTTTTCACTTGTCTGTGAAAGATTTTATTTTCTTATTTTACGATGAATGGCTTAGCTGGGTATAATGTTTGTGGCTGCCAAGTATTTTTCTTTCACTACTTTGAATATATCATCCTTTTCTCTCGTGGACTATAAGGTTTCTGCTGAAAAATCTAATGGAGATTCCCATATATTTGACTGAAAACTTTTCTCTTGTTGCCTTTAAAATTCTTTCTTTGTCTTTCACTTTTGACAATTTTACTACAGTTCTGCCTCAGAGAGGATATGTTCAGGTTTAATCCATTTGGGGTTCATTGTAGAAGTGTTCCTATTTCTCCACATCCTCTCCAGCATCTGTTGTCTCCAGATTTTTTAGTGATTGCCATTTGAACTGGAGTGAGATGGTATCTCAATGTGGTTTTGATTTTCATTTCTCTAATGACCAGTGATGATGAGCATTTTTTTATATGTATGTTGGCCTCATATATGTCTTCTTTTGAAAAGTGTCTGTTAATCTCCTTCACCCACTTTTAAATGGGTTTGTTTGTTTTTTTCTTGTAAATCTGCTTTAGTTCTTTGTAAATTCTGGTTATTAGCCCTTTGTCAGATGGGTAGATTGCAAAAATTTTTTCCCATTGTATTGGTTGCTGGTTCACTTTGATGATTGTTTCTTTTGCTGTGCAGAAGCTCTTAAGTTTACTTAGATCCCATTTGTCTATTTTGGCTTTTGTTGCCATTGCTTTTAGTGTTTTATTCATGAAGTCCTCCTTGACTGTGCCTATGTCCTGAATGGTGTTGCCTAGGTTTTCTTCTAGGGTTTTTATGTTGTTAGTTCTTACATTTAAATCTTTAATCCATCTGGAGTTAATTTTTGTATAAGGTGTAAGGAAGGAGTCCAGTTTCAGCTTTCTGCATATGGCTAGCCAGTTTTCCCAACTCGACCTTTCTCTCTGGCTGCCCTTAGGATTTTCTCCTTCATTTCAACCATGGTGAATCTGATGATTATGTGCCTTGGGATTGCTCTTCTTGAGGAGTATCTTTGTGGTGTTCTCTGTATTTCCTGGATTTGAATGTTGGCCTTCCTTGTTGAGGAAGTTCTCCTGGATAATATCCTGAAGAGTGTTTTCCAGCTTGGAATCATTCTCCCTGTCACATTCAGGCATGCTGATCAAGCGTAGATTAGGTCTTTTCACATAATCCCATAGTTCTTGGAGGCTTTGTTCATTTCTTTTCACCTTTTTTTCTCTAGTCTTGCCTTCTCATTTTATTTTATTGATTTGATCTTCAATCTCTGATATCCTTTCTTCTGCTTGATTGATTCAGCTGTTGAAACTTGTTTATGCTTCGCAAAGTTCTCTTGCTGTGTTTTTCAGCTCCATCAAGTCCTTTATGATCTTCTCTAAGCTGGTTAGTATTTCGTCTAACCTTTTTTCAATGTTCTTAATTTCTTTGCAATGGGTTAGAACATGGTCTTTTAACTCAGAGAAGTTTGTTATTACCCACCTTCTGAAACCTGCTTCTGTCAATTCGTCAAACTCATTCTCTATCTTGTTTTGTTCCCTTGGTGATGAGGAGTTGTGATCCCCGGGAGGAAAAGAGGCATTCTGGTCTTTGATGAATTCATCCTTTTTGCTCTGGTTTCTTCCCATGTTCGTGGATTTAGCTCCCTTTGATCTTTGAAGTTGGTGATTTCAGGGATGAGTGGATGTTGAGTGAATGTCCTTTCTTTTGAGGATGGAGCTATATCTCCTGTGTAAGGTTTTTTTTTTTGGCCTGTAAAGGCACTGCTGGACTCTCTCAGATTCAGTCAGGCTGC